TCACTCAGTGGTCACTCAGTGGTCACTCAGTGGTCACTCGGGGTCACTCAGGGGTCACTCAGTGGTCAGTGGTCACTCAGTGGTCACTCAGTGGTCACTCAGTGGTCACTCGGGGTCACTCAGGGGTCACTCAGTGGTCAGTGGTCACTCAGTGGTCACTCAGTGGTCACTCGGCCGCCTGGACGCCGCCGCAGTTCTCCTTGCTCTCCGAGGTGATGGCCAGGTACTCCGACCTGGGGGGGGAGGGGCCAAATTCGGGGTGGGGGAGGGGCCCCAAAACCCTCCTGGACACCCCAAAATCCCACCCAAAAAAATCCTCAAAATCCAAAAAAAAAACCCACCCCCCGTTCCAAAGATTTTAGCCCAAAATGCCCCAAAAAATTCCGCCCCAAGATCCAGAGGTTTTGCACCAAAATGCCCCAAAAACCCCCCAAAAATTCCAACCCAAAAATGCCTCAAAACCCAAAAAAATTCCACCCCAAAATGAAAAAAAAAACCACCCCAAAACCCCAAAAAATTCCATCCCAAAAATTTCTCCCCAAATGCAAAAAAATTCCAAAAATCCCACCCCAAAAATGCCCCAAAATCCAAAAAAATTCCACCCCGAAGTCCCAAAAAATTATCTCAAAATGCCCCAAAAATTCTGCCCCAAAATCCAAAAATTTTATGCCAAAATGCCCCAAAACTCCAAAAAATTCCACCCCAAAAATGCCCTAAAAATCCCCAAAATTCCACCCCAAAATCCCCAAAAATTCCACCCAAAAATCCCAAAAATTCCACACCAAAATGCCCCAAAACCCCAAAAAATTCCACCCAAAAAATTCCTCCCGAAAACAAAAAAATCCCCAAAACTCCCCTTTAGACCACGCCCACCTCCAAAGCCACGCCCCCAAACCCAAACCACGCCCCCTTAACTCTTTAATCTCTTAATTTGACCCCAATTTCTCCATTTTTTACCCCAATTTTTACTTTTTTCCCACCAAAATAAAACCACGCCCCTTAGACCACACCCACTCTGAAAGCCACGCCCCCACGATTTAAGCCACGCCCCCTCCCGATGTTTCAACCCCTATTTTTCCTTTTTCAGCCCCATTTTCACCCATTTTTTGCATTTCCCCCCAAATTCCAACCCAAACCACTCCCCATTTAAACCACGCCCCCTTAGACCACACCCCCTCCAAAGCCACGCCCCCAACCCAAGCCACGCCCCCTTAACTCCTTAATCCCTTAATTTTACTCCAATTTTTCCACTTTTTTGCCCCAATTTTCGCTTTTTTCTCCTGAAATTCAGCCATACCCCCTTAGACCACACCCACACTGAAAGCCACGCCCCCAACATTTAAGCCACGCCCCTCCCACCATTTAAACCCCCCCATTTTCCTCCCAATTTCCCCATTTTTGCCCAATTCTCCCGTTTTTTACCCCAATCTTCACTTTTTCTCCCATAAATCCAGCCACACCCCCTGAGACCACACCCACTCTGAAAGCCACGCCCCCAATATTTAAGCCACGCCCCCTCCCGCCATTTTAACCCCCCCATTTCCCCATTTTTTGCCCAATTTTCTCCCAGTTTTTTTGCATTTCCCCCCCAAAACTTCGCCCCGGGGTTAAGCCCCGCCCCCAGGCAGAGGCCCCGCCCACTCACGCGCTGTCGGGGGGCGGGGCCGCGGCCGCCACCTTGCGGTAGCAGTAGAGCATCTCGGCGGCCAGCCAGAGCGTGAGCACCACGATCAGCACGTACATCAGGATCTCGGAGACGATGGACGCCAGGTCCCGCCGCGCTGCCGGAGGAGGCGGCGTTCCCGAAATCCCGGGAAACGTCCCCAAAAAAAAATCCCGGGAAAAAAACCCCGAAAAAACCCCCAAAAATCCCAAAAAAAATACCTAAAAATCAGCGATTTTAGGGCTGGTTTGGGGGAAGCCACGCCCACCCTGAGGGTGCTGGGGACGCGGCCATTGGTCAGCTGGACATGCCCCTCCCCCCGCCCTAAAAATTCCCAAAATAGCAGAAAAAATCCCCCCAAAAAATCTCCCAAAATTCCGCGATTTTAGGGCGGAGTTATGGCGGGTTTGGGTGAAGCCACGCCCATTTTAAGCCACGCCCACGCTGTGCAGATTGGGGTGGGGTTGGGGACACGGCCATTGGTCAGCTGGACACGCCCCTGCCCCAAAATTCCCAAATTCCCAAAAAAAAATCCGGGCCTTTGTTGGGGCCAAATTTGGGCTAAGCCACACCCCATTTTTCCTAAGCCACGCCCACTTTCTGCCTTATATGGGCATGGAGTCTTCCCAGTAAGTTCCAGTTTGATCCCAGTCCCTCCTAGTTTGATCCCAGTGCTCCCAGTTTGATCCCAGTTTGATCCCAGTTTGATCCCAGTTTGATCCCAGTTTGATCCCAGTCCCTCCCAGTTCCCCTCAATGAACTCCCAGTGTCTCCCCAGCTCCCCCTGGTGGCGGCTTTGGGAACTGCAGCGTCCTCCCAGTAACTCCCAGTCCATCTAAGTCCACTCCCAGTAAATCCCAGGTCTTCCCAGTCCCTCTGATCTTCCCAGTAAGTTCCAGTTTGCCCCGTTTGATTCCAAGTTGATCCCAGTCCCTCCCAGTTTGATCCCAGTTTGATCCCAGTTTGATCCCAGTTTGATCCCAGTCCCTCCCAGTTTGATCCCAGCCCCTCCCAGTTTGTCCCATGAACTCCCAGTTCCCCTCAATGAACTCCCAGTGTCTCCCCAGCTCCCCCTGGTGGCGGCTTTGGGAACTGCAGCGTCCTCCCAGTAACTCCCAGTCCATCTAAGTCCACTCCCAGTAAATCCCAGGTCTTCCCAGTCCCTCCCAGTCCATCCCAGTCCCCTCCCAATCCCTCCCAGTCCCTCCCAGTCCATCCCAGTTCCCCTTTAATCCCTCCTAACTCCCTTTTACTCCCCTCTAGTTCCATTCCAGTCCCTTCCAACCAACTCCCAGTGCCTCCCAGTTCATCCCAGTCCTTCCCAGCACCTTTCTCCACCACGGCCAGCCGCAGGGTCTGGTTCCTGGCCAGGCTGTAGGTGTAGCCCAATCCCCCCCAAGTCCATCCCAGTCACTCCCAGTTCCCTCCCAGTCCATCCCAGTTTATCCCAGTCACTCCCAGTTCCCTCCCAATGAACTCCCGCTATCTCATTTGCTCCACCTGGTGGCGGCTTTGGGAACTGCAGCGTCCTCCCAGTAACTCCCAGTAATTCCCAGTTCATCCCAGTGCCTCTCAATCCCTCCCAACCACCTCCCAGTCCATCCCAGTTCCCCTTTAATCCCTCCTAACTCCTTTTTACTCCCCTCCAATTCCATCCCAGTCCCTTCCAACCACCTCGCATTGCCTCCCACTGCTTCCCAATCCCTCCCAGTCCCTCCCAATCCCATCCCCATCCCTCCCAGTTTATCCCAGTGCCTCCCAGCACCTTTCTCCACCACGGCCAGCCGCAGGGTCTGGTTCCTGGCCAGGCTGTAGGTGTAGCCCTCGAAGGTCAGGTTCCGTTTCAGCCGGCACACGTACTGCCCCGCGTGGCCGCGCTCCACGGCCTTCAGCCACACCGACAGGTCCTGCAGGTCCCGCGTGCCCCGCGAGCCGTTCCAGGCGATCACCCCCAGGAACGGGCCAGGAGCCACCCACTCGCCCTCCTCGGGGCTGTAGTGCAGGATCTGCACCGGTAAAAACCAGTAAGAACCAGTAAGAACCAGTAAGGGTTGGTAGGAAGGGATTGGAAATGGGTTTGGCTCAGTGTCGCCGTCTGGTGGCTGAGTTAGGTATTGCAGTCATGAATTATTGTGGTGCCAGTAATTCCCAGTAGCTCCCAGTATGGCCCAGTGGCTCTCCAGGGTCTCCGCAGTAGCTCCCAGTTCCTCCCAATACATCCCAGTTGTCTTCCCAGTAGGTTCCAGTAGCTCCCAATTGCCCTCCCAGTCCATCCCAGTCCCTCCCAATTCCCCCAAATTCCCTCCCAGTGCCCCTTCCCAGTCCCTCCCAGTGACCTTCTCGAAGTGGGGGGCCCCCTCGGGCCGGAAGAACCACTCGCTCTCGGCCTCGGCCGGGGTCTCGCTGCGGCGCTTGCAGGCGATGCAGAGCAGCCGGAACGGCTCCCCCAGCACGGCCTCGGTGCCCGAGGCCACCTCCACGCACCCGCCCAGCGCCCCCGACACTGCGGGAGGGGACAACGGGGGGGTCAGGGAGGAATTCCCGAATTTTCCCCAAATTCCAAAAAAAATCCGGCGGAATTCCGGCAAAATTTGAGCAAAATTTGGCAAAAAAACCTTCAAAAATCCACTGTGAAACAGATAAAGTTGACCCAAAATCCACCCCAGGACCCCCAAAATTAGAGGGAAGGGGAGAAAAGGGGGTCAGGAAGGAATTCCCGAATTTTCCCCAAATTCCAAAAAAATTCCGTCGAAATTTGAGCAAAATTTGGTAAAAAAACCTTCAAAAATCCACCCCAAAATTGGTAAATTAACCCAAAATGGACCCAAAATCCACCCCCAGGACCCCCAAAATTATAGGGAGGGGGAGAAGGGGGGGTCAGGAAGGAATTCCCGAATTTTCCCCAAAATTCCAAAAAAAATCCCACAAAATTTTGTTGAAATTTGACCGAAATTTGGTCCAAAAATCCTCCCAAAAAATGGTTAAAATTCCCCCAAAATGGACCCAAAATCCAACTCCGAGATCCCAAAAATTGGGAGGGGAACAGGGAGACCTAAAAATTTTTTTAAAAATCCCTAAATTCCCCCAAAATTTGCCCGAAATTCCAGGAAAATTTCCCCAAAAATCACTAAAATTGACCCCTAATCAAAAACTCACCTAAAATGGACCCAAAATCCCCCAAAATGGCCCCAAAATTCACCCTGGCCACCCCAAAATTTGGGATTGGGCGATCAAGGATTCCGGAATTCCCAAAAAAAATCCCAAAATTGGCCAAAAATTCATCAAAATCTGGCCAAAACCCCCCAAAATTGGCCCAAAATTGGCTCATTTGGACATTTTGAGGTCTCAGGTGACGTTTGGGGACATTTTGGGGACATTTGGGGACATTTTGGGGTCGCCGGTGACATTTTGGGGACATTTGGGGACATTTTGGGGTCGCCGGTGACATTCGGGGGGTCCCGAACTCACCCTCGAGGAGCCCGAGGAGCAGCGACAGCAACATGGCGGCACTTCGGCAATTTCCGGACACCTTCGGCTCTTTCCGCCCCCCTTCGTGCTCGGTTCGGTTCTTTCCGACCCTCCCCGGGCTCCCTTCGTCTACTTCCGGCCCGCTTCGCTTACTTCCGACCCAGTTCGGTTCTTTCCGGCCCGGTTCGGTTCTTTCCGTACAGCTCCGTCCTTACTTCGGTTATTCCTCGCCCGCTTCGGCTCTTTCCGGACAACTTCGCCTCTTTTCGGCCCGGTTCTGATTTCTCCGGCCTAGCTGGGCCCAGTTCGGCCCAGTTCGGCCCAGTTCAGCGTCTCCGGCCCCCTCAGCCCCCTGCCCGGCCCATGGGCCCCTCCCCCGCCGCAGGAGGAGGACGAGGATGAGGAGGACGAGGAGGAAGAGCCCGGGACGGGTCTGAGGAGCCGCTTCAAGGCATGGCCGGACCCTCGGGCGGGTCCGCTTCGGCTCCGCTTCGGCTCTTCTCGGCTCCGCTCCGTCCCCGCCGTTCGGCTCTTTCCGGCTCCCGCTTCGCCGGCTCTCGGCTCCTCTTCGGCTCTTTCCGGCTCTTTCCGGCTCCGCTCGGTCCCGGCGCACTGCGGCGCCCGAGGGGGGGGCGGGACCGGCCGTTTGACGTCATAAAAGTGGGCGTGGCTTCAGCCGAACGGGATTCCGCCCCCCCCCCGGTGTCCCCGAGAGGGTCGCGGTGTCCCCAAGGCCACCCCGGGGTGTCCCCGAGGGCGTCGCCGTGTCCTGGTGGCCCCAAGGAGCGTCCAGGTGTCCCCGAGGTGTCCCCGAGGCCAGCCCTGTGTCCCCGAGGCCATCCCGGTGTCCCCGAGGTGTCCCCGAGGTGTCCCCGAGGTGTCCCCAAGTCCTTCTCATTGTCCCCAGGTCCCTCCCGGTGTCCCCAAGGCCATCCCGGTGTCCCCAAGCTGTCCCCATGCTCCCAGGAGTGTCCCCATGTCCCCAGCGATGTCCCCAGGTCCCTCCCAGTGTCCCCAAATCCATCCCCACGTTGTCCCCATGTCCCCAGGTCCCTCCCGGTGTCCCCAGCCATGTCCCAGTGTCCCCAGGGGTGTCCCCATGTCCCTCCTGGTGTCCCCAGCCATGTCCCTGTGTCCCTGAGGGTGTCCCCACCTCCCCAGCGATGTCCCCAAGTCCTTCCCAGTGTCCCCAGGGGTGTCCCCAGCCATGTCCCGGTGTCCCCAAAGTGTCCCCAAGTCCTTCCCAGTGTCCCCAGGGATGTCCCCATATCCCCAGGGGTGTCCCCATGTCCCCAAAGTGTCCCCAGGTCCCTCCCAGTGTCCCCAAAGTGTCCCCAGGTCCCTCCCGGTGTCCCCAAAAAAGCTCCAACGCTCTCGCTCCGGTCTCAGCTTTATTTGAACGTCCCGTGGTGTCCCCGGGGGTGTCCCCAGGTGTCCCCAGGTGTCCCCGCGTGTCCCCGGGTGTCACTTGTAGAACTCGTGCTCCTGCTCGTCCTTCTTGATGACGGTTTTGTACGCCTTCTCAAAGTCCTTGGCCAGCACGATGTACCTGTTCTCACGCACGGCCAGCATGCCGCCCTGGGGACACGGGCAGGGTCACCTGAGTGTCACCTGTGTCACCTGAGTGTCACCTGAGTGTCACCTGAGTGTCACCTGTGTCACCCACAGCCACCCACAGCCACCCCTGTGTCACTTACAGTCACCTGCACCGAGCTACAGGCACACCTGTGTCACCTGTGTCACCCACAGCCAGCCCTGTGCCAGCCCCTGTGCCTGTTCTCCCTGACGGCCAGCATGCCGCCCTGGGGACAATGGCACCTGTGTCACCTACAGCCACACCTGAGTCACAGAGGTGTCACCTGTGTCACCTACAGCGAGCTGCATCCACCCCACTGTCACCTACAGCCACACCTGTCCCAGGTGTGCCGTGTCCCACACCTGTCCCAGGTGTGCCGTGTCCCACACCTGTCCCAGGCATGCCCAGGTGTGCCCAGCTGTACCCCACACCTGTCCCAGGTGTGCCCAGCTGTGTCTCACACCTGTCCCAGGTGTGCCCAGCTGTGTCCCACCCCTGTCCCAAGTGTGCCCCACACCTGTCACACGCGTGCCCAGCTGTGTCTCACACCTGTCC